GTCAAAGCTCGATTACTCCACAGCAGAAACAGTCGCGGTGCGGAGGGTGACGGCGTTGGAACCGCCTCCTCGAGAGCTTTCCGAAAACTTATCCTTTGGATTGCGCATCTTTGTCGTGGAGCATTTGAGCTCTGGAAATTGGTCCAAGGGGTGTGTTATCTTGTGTCACGTTGCTGAACCGTTCTGTGACCCGACGACCGGCCGATGCAAGCGCTTTGCTTCCGAGGGGTGAGTGGGGGAGAAAGGCGGTTTCAGCATCACGGAGGAGGTTGCTGTTCGATGGTCGAGTTCTGCGCAGGTTGATGTCGGTAGTGAGACGAGGGTACCGGAGTTTTGTGTTTCCGCCGGAAAGGCATGTGTTGGCGGCGTACTTCTTGTCGCTGCGAAAAGACGCGAGGTCGTTGTCAAGGTCTTCATGGTAGGCCTACTGCTGTGTGAGCAGAGCAAACATCACGAGCACCTGTGATGCGTTCGTTCCGGACGCAACAACTACCCGACGAGCGGTTGAGTGGTGGGGAATTGTTTCCGAGCGCAAGAGCGAAAGTGTCTGTTGCGGTGGAAAGTCGGCGACAAAGAGCGGAGATCAGCTCCAGATAAGTGGAGGAGACGTTTGGGTTTCTGTAGCGGAGTATCTCGCGCTGAGGAGACGACCGGATGAAGATATGCCATGGTTGTGGTTGTTATTTTTGTCATCGTTGTTGTTGTTGTTGTTGTTGCTGCTGCTGCTGCTGCTGCTGCTGCTGCGGCAGATGCTGATGCTGCTGCGGCAGATGCTGCCGTTACTGTCCCCGCCGGGCTTTTGCTCGGAGGCGGGGCCGTAGTTTGGTCCAGAGTCTGCGGCGGCACGCATGCGTAAGAACATAAAAGAACGTATAGTTTCACGTCTGCTCGGGCCTTTTCTATGCCGTCTGCGTCGTTCGGCGGGTTTGTTTTGCTTTCGGGGGTCGTCCCGACAGTTAAAACACGTTCTTGCCGGCCTTACCCCACGCGGATAATCTGGTAATCGTCTCTCATTCTGCTCTCCCCTTATATGCGCTCTTGTTTTGTTTTGGTTGTCGTCATTCATCATTCCCACACGTGTTTTTCACCGCCAGTGTTCATCTCCACGTCTCTTTCCTTGCAACAGGTGGTTCATCTGCATCTACGCCGGGTCGATGTCCAACCAGTCCGTGGTTACCCGCATCTGGGACCTCTTCATGTGGTACGGACGCCGCGGGCCCGCGGTTCTGGTCTGGGTTGCGCTCGCGGTGCTGCACGGATGCCGGCAGGGCATGTTCGAGAGCCATGGCCTGCCCGCAACTGTGAAGGCGGTGCGGCGGTACGCGGAGGGGTGCAAGACTTTCGACGACTTGGTTCGCCAAGCTCCTATGGGCCTGAATCAGGTGAACATCCCGGGGCAGCGAGAACGGGCTACGGCAACGCTTCATCTATTATTTGTTGCCGTGGGATGCATAAGTGCATGGGGCATCGGGACTCTTTGCTTCGACTCTGGGAGATCTTTCCTCGTATTCAGCAGTCGGCCGTCCTTATGTTCTTGGGCTACAGTACTCGCTGTGCCGGGGCGGTCTGTCTGAGGCTTGGTAAGCTGTGTGTTGGTTGTGTGCGCTAGGCAGGTATTTTGGGGGCGACACCGCTCTGAGCGAGAATGGCAGTGGTCGATATGCCGCACCCAGGTGAGATTGGCATCTATTTTAGCCTTGTTCCACGGGAGTGTTTTAGCGTATGCTAGCTATCTTACAGTTTGTCAAGAAGAAGGTACACCATCGCCACGCGCTTGCCGAGAAGTAGAGAGAGGGAGATAGATGTAATGGTGGGCAACTTTGGTGCTTTGATTGTTCCGCTTCGTGGCAGGTCGTGGCCGCTTGGGAGGAGCAGGGCAACAACCGGAAGATCGCCTTGTTGGACGGAGAGGGAGCCCTTCCAGACAGGATGGCGGCCGGCTTGGTCGAAGAAATGACTGGCGAGCCGGTCTACCTGCCGCCGCCAGGTCAGAGCCGAGAGGCTGCTCAATTGATTACTTATCCCCGTTCCGTCCGCCCGTTTTTCTGTGCCGTGTTTCACTCCGATGGTGGTGTCTTCCCCTCCTCTGTGCTCGGAGACTAACGAGCAACGCGATGGGGTTGTCTCAGCTGTTGCATTTCCGCGCGAACTCGTCGCCTTCAACATCAAGGCCGTCCCTTGCTCCAGCCAGAAAAATCATCGTGGCCATCCTTACACCGATCCCCACCCACACCCGATCCCGCCCTCCTGCCAACTCTCGTGTCTGTTCCCGACCAGAAGTCCTCAGCCCGCCGCGGCACCGCCGCAGCCCGAGCGGCTTGGGGCCGGTGGCCGCAACGTCCACGGCCTTCGGCATCCAGTTCCCCTCTACCCCGGGCCGACCCCCGACCCCGCTCACCTCCCCGCGGTCCCCCTTCCCCGAGTGGGCGACCAACATCTTCAGGAGCAGCACTGGTGGGCCGAACGAAGACGGAGGCGGCGTGCCTGCTAGTGTGGACGTTGGGAGTGTGAACGGGGGGCGCGGCGGGGGCGGGGGCGGGGGCGATCACCTGCCCCCCACGTCGCCCAGGTTTTCGACACCCTCGAGGCAGAGGCAGCTGAGGCGCGCGGCTAGCACATCGTGGTGGTAAAAGCTGACATGATTGGGTTGTCTTGGTGTGTTTTTGTCCATCGATGTTGTCGTCCCCCCGTCCTCGCCGATACGTTTTCATCTAATCCCGTGGTTGACTCGAGATTCAAATCTCGGAGACTTATGTTCAGCCGCATACCAGCAATTGGGTGCTGACAAGTCCGAGTGCATCATTGTTACAATACTCCGTTGTTGTTTTGTATACACGGTAGGGATTCGCCGGAACACAAAGCGTTGGAAATGGTGTGGTGGCGGTCTGCAGCGCGGTGCGCAGCGGTGTGGGGTTGGCAGAGAGCCCTCTATCCCCTTTGTTTGTTGGCGATTATCTGTTGATTAATACGAGGTTTGGTAGTAGTTCGTTTATGAAGGCAGTTGCTGCATGTTTTCCCTCGCGTCTTTTGTGTAGTCGCTATTTTTGCCTGAGTTTTGTTGGCCCGCTGCTGTGGAAAAACGGGTATCGTGCGGGTGTTTTGTGTGATGTGGTAGTTGAAATTCAAGCTGTTGATGGAGGTCAGAGCCTAATCGGTTGATATTTGTCGCGCAGGTAACTCTGTCACGTTGGGATTCCGGTGTGTCGGGAATAGGAGGGGGTGCGAGTGGTTGGTGTCCTGTACTGGACCGCTGTGTTGGCGGAAAGTGTTCGCCTCCAATTCTTCTTCCTGGAGGGCGGGGGGGGG